TGCTGCTGTGTGGAAGCAGGAGGCAGTGGGTCCCTCAGCCCCTCCCTCTCCTCTTTGTCCCCAGCTGACTCAGAGTGACATGCTGCGGGTAGAGCCGCCCCTGCTGCAGTACCCTGACTGGAGGGGGCACCTGTTGTAAGTACTGCTGTGGGACAGTGGATCTCAACATGGGCGGTTTTGTTCCCCCAGGGATGTTGGGCAAGGCCTGGACACAGGTTGGAGGGTCATAACTTGGAGGTGGAGATGCTCCTGGCCTTCAGTGGGTAGAGGCCAGAGATGCTGTTAGACCTACTGTGCACAGGACTGCTTCCCCAACAAAGAATTGTCCAGCTCCAAATATCAGGCGTGGCAGGTGGAGAGAGCCTGCTGAAGGCCAAGGGCCGAGTCCTGGAGGCCTGGAGATCCTGGGGTTCCCAGCCTGTCCCCTTGCAGCTCAGGAGCTCCCAGTTTGGTTTCCATGGACCTGACGTACAGGCAGGGCCTTTGGGTGAGGAGTCTGTTCTTCTTGTCAGTAGCTGATAGAAGCCAGATCCCATGTCTCTGTGAGGTGACTCTGCCAAGGTCCCACAGCCATTCAGTGGCACAGCTGAGACCAAACCCAGAAATTTGGACTCTGGCCGAGTGCTCTTCATACAACATTGCCACCCAAAAAAGAGGGGGGGCTTGCATAGACAGTGCCAGGAGAGGGAGCAGAGTGCTGTCACCTCCGTCTGGATCCCATGCCAGGGAGCTGGCTGGGCTTTTGTTGGCCGTAAGAGAGGAAGTGACGGGCAACACTGATGCTTGGCTCTACTGCCTGAGCAGACACCAGGGACCAGAGGACAGGGGTTCAGTGGCCAAGGACTTGATCCCAAGACTGATTCCAAAGCTCATGTTCTTAAACAGTGATTAGGATGGTGAGCCCTACAGACAGGCCGCTGGGCTTGGCCTTGTGTTCTGTACTTACCAGCAAGTGGCTCGATTTCTACAGACCTGTTCTGCTTTGTGCTGGGGATTGAACCCAGTGACCCTTTACCGTTGAGCTACATCCCCAGTCCTTTTAATATTTTATTCTGAAACAAGGTCTCACCAAATTGCTGAGGATTTCACTAAATTGCTGAAGCTGGCCTTGAACTTGAAATCATCCTGCCTCAGCCTCCTGTGCTTCTGGGATTACAGTGGCTAAACCTGTTTCTTTGTCTGTAAAATGGAAATATTAATAATTATAGTGTTGTGTTCTCAAAATAACATCTGGGTGTAGGATAAATGTAGAACCACAGGGAAAGAAAACTCAGCACATGTGGGAGGGCACCTGGGAGTGAGGACAGGTGCAGAGCATAATGCCCATGTGGGACATGAGGGGAGAATAATGGCAGGGGCCTGAGAATTCCCCAGAGGAGCTTTGGGGTGGCC